TTCGCTTTTTAATGATAGATGCATAATTCGTTAGCATAATTACTAACGAAATAAAAAGTGATACCTATCTACAAGCAATTAGTTTTAATATATGCATGAATAATTACGAAAAATCTCAAAGCAAGTAATAAATAATTTAATTATATTAAATTGTGAAATTTTCAAATTGCAACGAAGAACTGTTTAAGATGCTCGATATCAAATTAATCATGATATTTTCTAATTCCATCACAACACATATCGAGTATTATTAATTATTTTGCCATGTTAATATTCGCTTTGAGAACGAAACCAAAAGTTATTTGGCAACTTTATTCAAGATCATATCAGCTTACTGATCGTTGCCAAATCTTCGTTAGAAATACACCTTTCTCGTCTTCGTATCATAAGAGTTTTAAATTGTAATTCAGCTCATTATATCAGATCGACGATACGATAATCCAATCACAATTTCAATAATCTAATATTCGCTAAAGAAAAAAATAAGAAAAGTGAAATGGATCGAAGCTTCTTGGAAAGATTATAGGCAAATGCGAATGAAAGGATACATGAAAAATGAAAAGAAGAGAAAAATCGAAGATCATAGCCAAGGCGTTCGGTTTTCGTTTTCTTTCTTTACCTTCTGCTTTTCATCGAAAGGAAACGGAAAGCCGGAAGTGGATGGTATTCGAAAGCATGACTATATATATATATATATTAACCAAAGCCTACGTCTCTTCTTTTTTCGTTTTTGTATAGCCTCCTGAAAAAGTAAAAAAGAAAGAGAGAGAGAGAGAGAGAGAGAGAGAGAGAGAGAGAGAAAGAGAGAAGGAGAAAGAAGGAGAAAGACGAAGAAAACCAAGAATCTGGGATTATTATGATTCAATATTATTTCCTGTCAAGTATCGAAAAAGCCATACTATTTAATGATGCTTCTCTTAGATCGATTGAAAGGACTGTAAAACCCCTCCTAACATACCTTTTCTTCTTGTAAAAACACGTTTCGTAATATATCGAATGATCGAGCGATTACAATGGATTGTACGATGTGTATATTATATATTTCGGTAAAAGTGAATGAATTGAAAATATTCGTCGGACCTCGTATTTAATTATGCAAGTTATCTTGTTCTCAAAATAAGAGGTAATGCGTGACGCAAATAAATTTGTTCGAGAATCGTTTTAGAGATTATCGGTTTAGAGTTTCGAATATCCGAAACTTTAGGATATTTCAAAATGATCCGATTATGGAGAGATTATCAAACCTCGAAAAGTTTTTGAACTACCGTCCGATAATGCTCGACGTTTAGATCTTGCGAAGAATAAATCTCGCGAAAATATTTAAGTTTACAATAAATTTAAGCTAGGTTAGACGGAAAAAAGGTCGATAGACCCGAAAAGTTTACGCTCTGTGTAACTAATTCTAAAAGTCAACCACTTGGCTTTAAGATTAATTTGCACTTTAATGCAAATCGCTTTGCAATTTCACGGATTTAATAACTATCGTTCGTCGAGTGCACGCTACGCTTGAATTTGATCCTTTTATTTCAAGTAAACAAATGATAAATCGATAACAATAATCAACAAATTGGAACTTTTTGCCGTCTATCAAATTTTTGAATGGATAAATATATCTGATTTTGAGATACTGAATTCAGTCGAAAAATCAAATTCCCTCTATTAGATATACAATACAAATACAATAATATAATATAGCAAACATTGATATAAAAATATTGATATAAGCAAACATTGGGCATTTTAAATATAAATAAAATATAACACTCAAAACTCACTAAGATTTTTTTGATAACATAAAAAACTCTAACGCCAACAAAAGCAAAAGAATACATATTAATCCCATGAGGTTAATATTTACAAAATTTAATGTCAATTTTAAAACGGTAAAATTCTTATTTTGTACGATGCCTCATCACAAATGAATTTTTAGCGACACTCTATACTCTGTATTCTTATAGTTATCCAATAAGTCACTCATTATGAAACTATATTCTTTGTTATCTAAAAAATTCTTCTGTTACCTAAATAACTAATTTGAAATTTCTGAATTTATCATCAAAACTTAAATATTTCACAAGTTCTTGATTTTGTTACGATACAAAACAATATCTCGATTAGTATACTAATGTTTTGAATATAAAACAATATCTTGATTTGTATCCTAATAAATATACTTTCTTTTAGCTTTATTTCATTCAACCTGGGAAACATCATTGAAATGAGATCATTTGTTCAAATAATTAAAGATTTGATCTTCTTTATCAAGAGATTTTACAAAGTTATTCATCAAGCTTAATTTTATATGAAGCGGAAGCAAAATAATTTTACTCGATTCATTGAATGGAGTAAATTTCATTTCACATTTTTCTCTCCAGCAATGTATAATTTCCTTACGCATCACTGATTTTATTATACACATATACATACATACATACATATATATATATATATTCACGGAAAAAAGATGGAGAACAGAAGATTTAAATGATCTAGAAAAAATCGAAAGTATCTTTAAAACCTTACGTAATACAGCATTTATGAGGACCGGCTTCGAATTCTACGATCAAAATAAGAATTGATGTATTACACACCCGATTCAAAATGGCTATTAATTAATATAATCGTCGAAACGTATCTACATACATACACATATATGTCTAACCATGAAAATCGAGTTCAATATATGTTAATTTTTTATTCACGTTGCTATTAAGTTAAAACAAGACTTTAAATTTAAATCCAGCCATATTTAATCTTCCTTTTCATCTCTTTTCAACTTATTCAGACGAATAAACGTGGAAAAATATCAAGCTCTTTCCTTAATTAACTATATAAAAAATTACTAATTAATTTACTCCATCACTTCGAGTTTGCCTAATTCGAACTATAACAAATTTAAACACGATCTTTTGATCATTTCATTTCTTCCTCCAAAGGAAAAGAAAATATAACGAGGATCGAATATAATGGGCAAGAATAAAGAGAACTTCACGAACGAAATTCGAATTACAAAGAAAAAATAAAAGATATTCGCTCTACTTGACACGATTAGAAAAACTTACGTAACATCATTAAGTTAACCGTGAGTGCTACTTCATTATTGTTATCTATAGAAGGTTTGTTGTATAGACAATTAAAGGACTTCAAAAAAAGTTATTTATTTTAGTTGCTGAAGACTAAACGTATACGACATGTGGTGCATCGTTCACAACTAAAAGAGATTAGTTACATCGATAGAAGCATCAAGACTATGTAACCCCATAAAATAGCACTTTATTCTCCATGTTTAATAGTATGCTGCATATGTTTCAAAATTTGATTCGTCGGAAAATATAATATTATTCCAGAACGTTATAACATTTTTTAAATACTCTTGTGTTACTGAAACCTCTTTTTTTAACTACGCTAATATAAGGTTTCTTCCTAGCAACTCTATTGACGTGTATCCTTCTCGATGAAGCAGTATAAATAAGTATAGAATGTATCTGTTCGTTATTATATTTTTGAATCTCTGTTGAAACTTCAACTGCTGTTATTAATTATTCGCAAAATTCTACGTTCTACCTGATTAGAAAATTTAATTAGTAAATTATAAAATATAAACTTTACATATATATATAAATGTATATTTATGTTGAATATTGCTCTAAATATTGTATAAAGTTTATTCAACAAAATTTATTGATTTACTATTATTTCTTTTATTATTTCCTTATTGTACGAATACTTTCGTTTATTACTATATGCAAATTGAATTGAAAAAGAGAAGGAGAACATCCATTGCTCTCAAGTTATTAATAATTGTTTAAAAAGAAACTTTTGTACGAGAAATTTTAAAAAGTCATAAAAGAAGGGAGGCAGATTGTTTGAATAAACGTTTTTACTTAGCTAAACTTCCATCGTAACGTCGACTTTCGCTATTAATTAAATATTTATCTATCAAATTTTCACGAAATATCGTAAAAAATTCGTGAGTATGTCGATAAGTATTGAACTTACTTGTTCTAAATGGAACACTAAAGATCAAGTATAAAGGTAGAAGTTCATGACATGTCTACAAGGAGGACACATGTAACATTTACTAATTACCAGAATGGCCGGTAATTCCTGTAGTTGCGGTTAACGTAAGTCGAAACCATTGCGGTTTCGTTCGACCAGACATTGCGATTTCCGGGGTTTCTCTCATAATAGTATTCTGGCAGATGTATTCCACCATTTGCGAAACAAAATTTTATTTGAAAGAGCGCTATAACAATCATTGCCAGTCGTTTAAATCACATAAGACCTTCCAAAAGCAAAAGAAAAAGCAGAGAGTTTATAAATTAATATCGTCTAATTATTTTTTTTTCGAATATTCGTTGACCCTTTTTATTGACTTTACCGCAAGAAATAACTTATGATTAATTTAAGAAGTTATTATACATTCTGTGTAAATATAATACACAAAGTTTCTATTGGTGATCAGAATAATTATCCGTGTAGATCGAAAGGATGTTTCGCGTTTCTCAGTTTAGTGAAATAAACCACGAGAATTCTCTTGGTGATTTTGATCTTCTCGTAGAACGGAAATGAACCTCCGTCTTTCGTTAAATCAAGCGTAATACTACGAAATTACTTATGACGGAATCAGCTTAATTTCACTGTTCGCCTTTGCATTCACGTCGTGAAGCTAAACTTGCAAAATTTGTTAAATTCTCACGGAATGATATCCGACTGTTTCCTAAGACAAAAATAACTTATTCAATGTCGCAGAATAATTTGTTTAATGATTTAATTAAAAAGTAAATATATGAACGGTTAGAAGGGTGATATTATTCTCTCTAAAATACATTGGTATAAGTAATCAAAGATAACTCATATAACTTGTTATGTTAATCGAAGTGAAAGATCGAAAAATACGAATTTTCGAAAATCGAGATAATACAAACCCGATCAAATAATCTCTTTGTAGATTTCATTTATTTATGCAATTAACTGATGCAATTAATATTGATTCGTAGTCTGGTTTGCCACCTACGTACGAAGAATACTTATGTCACGAATACGAGATGATACCGCGCTCACATACACCTCCGCCGCCTTGGTCGGATTCAACGACGAATTCGTCATCGACAAGGCCATCCTCTTCAGTTATCCGAACACGTCGCGAGCTTGGTGAGTATTTTGCACAGCTGACGATGTCCCAGAACAACGAGTATGTTCCTCTTTATCAAGCTCAGCAGCATCAACAACAGCAACAACACTCTGGTACTGTCCATCGGGATATTGGTGGTTACCTCACGAATAAGCAAGTCTGCAGGGAACAGCAGATCAGAGCGCAACAACGAACACGACCGATGCCTCCCAGGTGAGAATTAAAGATATGAGATATAGAGATATGAGCTGTTAACCTACCGTGAATTTCAATTGTTCTCTCTCTCTCTCTCTCTCTCTCTCTCTCACACACTTCATGAATTGATTTTTACATCAAATGAAATAGTTTAGATTATGAGTAGATGCCACGTTGCTATCACACTTCAAAGGATCGGATAGTCAAATTCAATATTTCAATTATAATCAGAGCAGAGTCTAACGATAAGAATATGAGAGTAAATTTTGTTAAAAGTTTTTAATTTTTAAAATTTACAAAAATTTATGCGAAATTCACTTGACGATCAACTCAAATGTTTATGCATCTTTCGAATTATCAATATTTTTGAAAATCGTCTGTTTTTCTCAAGATATGCGAACGATACACATATTCGTTATTTCACTTAAAAATGTATTGAGAAAAATTGGAAACAATGTTTCTCTCGATGTCAATTTACCTACTGTCTATATATTTTCGTGATCATCGTGAATATTTGAACTGAACATTTAACAAAAGTTTAACAAGCACGAGCATAACAGTTCAAAGCTCGTGGTACTTTTATCAATTTCAGCCATAGGGCTTTATCGAATATTACTCATCGACAAACTAGACAACCGTGTATGCCAGTTCAATGCGAATGCCTATTATTCTCATGCCATAAATAAACGGCGGACAACGACGTTTCGAAATTGAAATTCAAAATCTACTGTACACCTTATAGCAATTAAATTCATTCAACGGAGTTCCTCAGAAAATAGATGAATTCAATGATTACAGCAACTTCGCGTGCGAACGAATTATTTATTAATTAATCCTTACGAATTTCGCGCGTTGAAAAGTGTTAAGGATATTAACAAAAAAAAAAAAAAAGAAAATATTACTTTTTAGTAGACAAAATCGAAAAGATCTTTTCTTGAAAACTTTATAATGGAATATACCGAGGAAATATACATTTTTATATTTCTTCTTTCATAGAAAAAGTATTCTATATATTTTCTATACATACCAACATATACAGATATAATTCTATACGGTTATATACGTGAATATTTATATCTAGAAATATAGATGAAAGTATATTGAAAAAGAACGGATACATTGGTTTGCTATTCAACGTACGATGCAATTACGCAGTCTAGTTAATTTTATCATTTCTCGAACAACCGCAAAAATACTTTTGCGTTTTCATTTTCAAAGCAATCCTGACAATCCAAATAAAATAACTTGGATGAATTTTTGTTCTCTTGTTTCGTCTACGTTGGAATCTCAATTGTTGTTTGATATGTGAAATATCTATGAACGATTAAACATATATAGTTTGGCTGTGTGTTTGCATGCATACGTATATATTAAATTTAAAAGAAACACATCTATATATATAGACATATCGCACTTCATAGTATCGATACGGCGACTAAAAATATATTTCAGTAGGTCAATTGATGTTGTATTCGCCTAATAAAAATCAATAAATAATTTCAGGTCGCAGAGCGAGAGTCGAGCGCAACAGCAAAGAATCGCAACGATGTACGAAGATGGTGCTTTTTGCATGGAAACAACGGCACTAACATCGATGTTCGAGCATGGAGTAGCTTTTTGTAGCCTAATGTAAGAGAAGACTTTCAAACGGAAACCTGTTACAAGACCAAAAGTCTCGAACGTAATTTTTACTCTTCGAGATGACGAAGATTCAAAGACATAAGTATAAAAAAAATTCATAATTGTTCTTATCATTGAGTTATATTAATGAATGTCTATCATTGATCTATCGATCGATCAATTACTTTCTAAAATCGCCTATAATGAAGAAAGAAAAAACAGAACAGTATTTTCATTCGGAATAACGTTCAATAATGTTAAACAGAAAGTCACTTATTTTTCTGAATTATTCGAGGATATAATGTATTTTGTTCTTTGATTTTCTAACTAGGTAACAATGATTGACATATAAAAAATATATTCGTACAACATATAGAAGATCCCAGACAAAAATGTCTATACATATTGTATATTATTAAGTATTTCAATACGAGTTATAAAAAAGTATTTATTGTGTATATGCATGCTCATATTTATATGTGTAGATTAGTTTTTAAATAAGTGTACATTATTTTTTATTAGTTTCGTCTATTACATTCCTAACATCAGGTTTCAACTCTAATATAAATCACCAATAAAAACGAGCGTTTTTATAAATGCGATGTAATAGATAGTAAAGCACGAAAAACGGTCTAGGAAGCTCTCAATATTCGCTCTATGCCACATCTTACAAATATATATATATATATATATATATATATATATATACACGTATGTAAGAATGTGGCCCAATTTGTTCAAATCGATAAACATTATATTTTATGTACTTTAAACTTCTGTGACTACTTTAGTGTACTTTAAATAATAGGAATGATAAAAGTAATAACTTAAAAAAATCGATGTTGTTACCTAGTTACGTGCGTACATTTTATCGTAAAAATTTTTTATCATACATTCTTTATCGTACGCTGAAGGATTTATATCGTACAACACTATTTATTTCCTTTCCAAAATTTATTTGTTTATACTGCTTCTCTCTTATATGTTCTTTTTTTTTCTTTGTATAAAACTTTCGCAGATCGAAATCAAAACGTCGCAACAACAATTATCAATATTTATCTTGGTTCATTTTTCGAACCGATATTGAATAAACACGTTCGTATTCATTTTTAATACTTCAAATTAAAAAAAAAAAGAAAAGAAAATTAGTACTAATCTCTGAAATGATAATATTCTGTGTTCACTATAAAATAGAAACCTTTAGATTAAAAATGGTAGGCGACGACGTTTTACTGGTGTTCTAATAATCTTATTACTTTTTCACTTTCCCTTTTAATTCGTTTGTTCATGATCGTGGAAAGTCGGTGACGAGTAATATTTACGGAAAAAAGAGGAGAGAAAAAAATGAGAGAGATAGAAAAAATTTTCAGTTCGTCTACATTCCTTCTTATTATACACACACACATATATATATATATTTATTTATTACGTTAATTATATTATACTATGCATATATATATATATATATATATATATATATATATAGCAATTCTGATTTCGCCCAACGAAAAAATCGATACGAGATAGCTGAGTTTTTGCTAAAATCTATTTAATAAACCGGGGAAGCTTTCAAATCGATTCCGGAATAAAAATCTGTAATCTTTTCATCATTAATGAGAATAGTCTCTAATCAGATTATAAAAAATAAATACTCGATAAGAATACGTATATGTGTGTGCAACGTATATCATAAGAGTATAAGAAATAATAAACGTTCTATGAAATGAATAATATTAATGTGTAGCTTTATCGAATTGGCATATAAAAAACAGAAAGTAGCAATGTAAAAATCAATGTTGATGTTGTGTTATACGTAGAAATAGTGCATTTCACAATTATAGAATTCGTGAAAACAATTCGAGGAAGGAAATATGAAAGATAAAAGATTGTTGCCGTGTATATTGAATTATTTAATCGATTAGATACCGTTAAAGGTGCGAAAAAAAAGAATGTTGATATCTTGCAAGTTTAAAAATGATTAAAGAAATGTAAATTATTATAATGATCACGTACTATATATTCTTACGATCGATCATTTGTCATATAATGATCGTAAAAATAAAAAATAAAAAATAATAAAAATAATTATTATCTTACTTTCGTAGAATCTGATATCTATATGACTAATCAATTAGAAAATAATCGATCAAAGTTAAAATGAAAAATCTAAATTATTCATCACCCTACAATTTCACGACAGATATAAAATTTCTTTTTATCCCTGAATATATCTAGACCCGTGCAATGCCGATAATTCTTCAACGTTCTTAAAGACCATTAATTTTAATAAGTATAATAATTAGATATTATTATACTTATTATCATATCGTATGTACGTAAAACTAAGTAAAATTATTTTTCTGGTTCGATTTTTCGATTTGTCACACGCGTGACGTTCATTAAATTTGGTCTTCTTTCTTTTGCTTTTACGATATCGATGATGATACCTTAAAAATATATTCACAAAAATTAATAAATACGTATAAATCATTAGAAATATATAACAATGCTTCAAATATATTATCGAAAAGTATATCTACAGATAATACCATTTTGCGATTCGATTATTACGATTGATCGTGTCATGTCTAAACGCACACTAAGTATAACCGCTCTGTTTCATGAGACGATGTGCGTGAATTATTTTTAAAAGAGGCGAACTTGTTACTGAATATAAATACACGAATATTATAATTTTATTTATAATTATAATAAGAATAAGAAAAATAATAGTAATAGCATTAATAATAAGTATAATAATAGTAATAATAATAACAATAATAGTAATAATAGTAATAATAATACTAATAATAATAATCAAGAACTAGCACTAAAATATCAACTTATAAAAACGCACACAAACTATCGTATTATAAATGCAAATCTGAACATATGCTTGAAAACGAAGAATACAAACCATACTGATACAAGACAATTCAAAAAAGCAGCAATTAACAGTATAATAATAAATAATATAGCGGGCATCACATTAATTAATAAAAAAAAAGATAAACTCTGCAAATGACGCAAATGACACATAAAAGTAACATTTAAGAAAAAAATGACAAAATACACACGGACGATCTTAGGGTTGAACAAAAGCAAACATCTAAAAAGTCATTATTGCTGTTGAAAACAACAGCAATAGTACGGGATTATAGTAAAGTGATGAGGAGAATTGCGAGATTAATAGAGCGATATTGTGTATGTTTGTAGTCAAGAGAAAAGCAACGAGAAACTAAATATTATAGCGTACTATGTTTCTTCGATATGTCAAATGTCATTGTCAAAGCTTCTAAAGTTTTATGCTTACTATTAATATAAAAAATATAATTATATTAAATATTAAAAATTATATTAAAAATTGTATTAAAAATTATTAATTTATTTAATGTTTATATTAAAAATTACTGCAATGTTTTAACATAGTATTTTTTTTCACTGTTGAAAAATACTTCGTTCTTATCAGGGAAATTCCCGTGGCTAGCTAAATGCCCTCGAGCGCGGTTATCTCTGCTAACAGAAACGAACATTTTTCTTTTTAGTTGCATCGCTAGTGGACATCGCCTTCCTCATGATTCTCTTCAATACTTTATTATTATAAACACTTTATTATAAACACAGAAATATATTGGTTTCATTTTATCGTGTTGTTCATTTTCATAGTTAAAAAAATTAGAAAAAGCAGTTGTAAAGTGTAAGTAAAGATGTGAGACATTTGTGATGACGATGATAATAATAATACATAATAATAATAATAAATCCAAGAAAATTTCAATATTCAGTGCATGAGTATACATATATATATATATATATATATATATATATATATATATATATATATATATTTATTTATGAAGAAAAACCCAGAACTGCCAAGAGCGCAAAAGTTCTAAAAGTTTTTAAATCTCTTCTCTAAATTTCAGGACTTTTAACTATGAAAGTTGATGTTTCGATTATCGAAAAAAAAATACTATATATCAACGTATAACTGTATTATTCGAGCTCATAATACTTGTTCAAAAGTACATTGAAAGAAGTAATTATAATAAATGTAGTAGAAAGAAATCGCATGCTTTATGATAAAAAAAAGAAAAAAGGAAAATAACAAATAATAATTAATAATAATCGTTAATCTTGAATGATGAAAATCGTGTAAACGAATCATTCTGTCGATTGCTGTGAACGTGATTATTATAATCGCATTGTTCACGACGTCCACATACACCGGAAAATAGAAGGTATAAATATAGTTATATGTGTATATATGTTTCATGTGTCCATTTTATGACGAATAAATTAATTTCTCGCAAAATAATACTACTTCAAAGTAATCACGGATAATGTATTTTGTATATATTAAACAGATAAACATGTAAAATGTTTTAAATTAATTTTACTAATATTTGTGATTACGTTATTCTTTTGTTCCAGTACGATCATTTCTTAATACAGCTTTCTAATATTATTGATAAATATAATTTCACGTTATCATTTAAACTAGTAACATCAATATCACGTTACCATTCGAAAAATGTTACATGAAAAAAATAAGCTATTTTACTTAAACATTGTTTCTCTTATCTTGTTTAACTTAAAAAATTAATCCGTTTCTGCATTCAACTTTAATTCTGTATATTTATAAAATTTATGACAATGACTGATCATTCATTTGTGTAATTATTAAGCGGTCACTATACTTGTATTTTACATTTAATTTATTTTTTAATGAAGATGTATTTAATGTTTATAATATCGCCGCCAATAATACGTACGTAAAAATAACAAATTCAATTATCTCTAAGTTTTAATGTCGGAGAAAAATATCCACGCTAAACGACTGGAATTTAATAATTTTCGATATAATAGAATTAATGGACATCAAAATCGCGTTCCCCGTAGATCATATTTATATACGACTTATTAAGCAATTCGCAGTAGTTAAATGAGTCAATAAGAAAAATTACTATCTCTGAGCTGAGATCACTTTATGTGTGTACATTTAAATATTGAAGATAAAGAGACAGTGAGCGAGAGAGTGGGAGGGAGAGAGGAGAATGATGTTTGAAATGAAAGTATTTGTTTGAAACTTGATGATTGTCAATTTATTATAAATATTCTTAACGATAAACGCATATCGTCTCTCGATCGAGCTTTAACAAAATAAAGAAAAAATTAATTTAATAGAAAAATAGAGACGAAAGTATCTACATAGATGTGTATTTATTTTCTTTTTCTTTATAAAAATTTTTCTTCATACAAATTATATATCTTAAAGAAGATAAAAGATAAAAAAAGGAAGATTTTAATTGTATTTCAATTGATATAAAATAATACGACATGTTCGAACGGAAATTAAGTATTTACGAAACAATTATCACATAGTCTATCGATATCGATAAAAGTAGAAAGATAGTATAAAGTATTTTCGAAAAAAGCGAACGACGTATAGAGATATGGACTTTAGATATTCTTGTATGCATAGCGATGAATTAAACGTCAAAATAAATCCGATTTGTATTTAAGTTATTTTATTATCTCTATTAAGTCTATAATTCGCATTTCGAAACTTTAAACGAAATCATTTTTTGTCGATTGTATATCAAATGTCAGAGAGGCATAACTTTATTAAAAAAAAAAAAAAAGAAAAAACAGTTAAACAAAAAAAAAGAAAAAGAAAGAGAAAAGAAAAGAAAGAAAGCTTGATAAAACTTATTTCAATCTTTATCAGTGCATGAGAAGAGAAATGTATACAAAATATTTATATTTTTGTATAATAAATAATATCTTTCGTTTCTCGTAAAATTTTTCGAATGGATGAGGAAACTATGTTTTTACATTAAAATCAGTTGTTGTGCATTAATAGAAAATTAAATGTCTACGATTTCACATTTAAATGTTAAAATAAAAAAGAAACCCACCCTACTTAAAAAAAAAAAAAAAAAAAAGGAAAAAGAAAAAAAAAGGAAAAAAATGAAAAATAAAAAATATACAAAACGAAATAAGTAAACGAAAGCTAAACTAGTTATCTGCCGATATAAGAAAAAAAAGAAAAAAGGACAAAACATAATGTGCTAACAAGAAATCGAACTATATTGCTATTACGATCCATACTGTATGTTCTGTATATTATGAATGTTTAGAGGACCAAGAAATATAATATACCGATGTGAAGATCGACTGTCTTGTATTTTTATTTTAATACATCGAATCTTCATCTTTTTATCCTATTATGCAAATATAGGATAAATAAGAAACATGACTAACCATCGACGAGGGTCTTTAATTTTATGGCTTATAATAATAAAAAAAAAAAAAAAGAATAAAAAAATAAACACCTCTTGCAACAAAATTATATTTGCGATATAATCACTTTATGCGTACATATAGATGTATTGCTTACTATGTTATTCTGAGGAACAGATGTGCAGAGATAAAAATTAGGTTAAAATGTATATTTTTTATTTCATTCATATCTTTTTGAAACGACAGTGATTGTCTTGCGTCACTTGTTACATATATTCTAATTACAATTTACAATGTAAAAATGATATGGTTAACATGGCAAGTATAAGATTATTTGAGGCTACAGTGTTTGCGAAAAAATAAATAAGTATGTATAATAAGTACATAAATGTACGTATTTACATAAAATAAAAATGATCGCCGAGAATGATTAATGAGGTCGCAAGAAAAAATGAATTTTCATTTCGTAATTTATCTAACATAGAAACTTGTGATAAGTCTTGAACTTTGTAGCAATGTATACCATATAGAAAAAAAATTCAACTCCAATAAAGTAAAATAGAATCAATGTTAGCTGAACGCTGCAAAACGTTTTATTTAGACAACTTCAACAAAATCAAAAAGAAAATGAATAATTTGTCATCAATCCAAAGTTCATAGACTTTTAAATAAATACAATGGTTATTCAGCTCTCTGATTATCGAGACGATGTAATAAAATATAAAATGTCGCGATCATAAGTTTTATTATAATCTAGTTAATTTGTATCGAACATATTATTCGAGCAATCTCTTTCGATTCTTTCTTTCTCTCAGTACGCGAACTTTAGCAATCTCAAAGAAAAGAAAAAAAAAATTTAAATAAAGTTGAGAAATAAATAAGAATATGTGTTCGTAGGAACGTTCACGTATAAAAAAAAAAAAAAAAAAAAGAAAAAACAAAAAAGAAATAGAACCGTTATAACGAACGAAATTGATGAAATAAATAATAATTTAGAATCCATTTACTTTAACGCCATTTGGTATACGAAAGATTCTCTGTTTAAATGGAAGCTCACCGATGAGATATCGTTTGAGAATATCTTGTGCGATTTTCGAGTGTCCAGCGCCAATAAAACTAAGCGTAGCATCCCTTCCAGCGTATTCAAGAAGAACATCTTGTCCACCCGGATGAGTCTTCAATAGCTCGGTACAATCGTAAACGTAATCGTAAATTATAATCCAACAATTGTTCGGCGTATCGTGCCAGGCAACCTCATCCAAACTAATACATCTAAGTTCACCAAGTCTTGAAGCTTCCTCGTTTCGTTTTAATCTCCTCGTTTTTTCCTTGGATGTAACGTCAGAAGATGTCTTATAAGTTTGCTCTCTGGTTATGCTCAAAAAACCATCTCTTTTCGTTTCCGAATCTGTCATATCCAAGGCTCGAAATGTCAGACTTACACGATCTATGCCTCTCAAACTTTCCTTTTCTCTCCTGAAAGAAATGTATTTAATCTCTTTTTAGCTTAAAGAGTAAAATGTCGATAAAACTGACGACCTATGATCACTTATCTTTGCTTTCTTTTCGAAATAACGTTACATTGATTGAAAATTTCACAAAATTCCTCGATAATTTTACAAACAGTTGCTTTAACGATTATTCATTCTCATATAGGTATAGGAGAAACAAAAATAATATATATATATATATACATGTATACTCTATTTCGCAAATCTTATTATGAAAAATTTAATCGAGCTAATTTCTTGATATTTCAAGATCGGTTTATCATTAAATTCGAGAATGATTATATATACAATATGAGTAACAGAAATGTTTACGAATGTTTCATGCCTACTGTGAAAGTTACGAACGTAGTTATTACAAAGTCGAGAAAAAAAATTATCTGAAGCGAAATTTACTGCAGACAAACTCGATACTTGATTTATTCGCTCCAATTACGATATGTATATGTATATATCATACGTTCGCGATAAATTTATAAAAACCTGTAGAACATGATATCGAACTTGATCTCGATGAACTCGAAATTAATTTTAGATCGAATGAATGTTAGAAGAAAAAAATCGTGATTGCACTTACGTCGAGGAAGATTCTTTCTCGATGGACATTATACGATGTACTGGCTATCGGAGAAGTCAAAATGTCAATTCCTCTGGAGAAAGGTAAATAATTTCATTACCGGTTGAAACCCGATGCGTGCAAACGAGGTGTTCCCTTGGTCACGCACGGTAATCCAATGCTATTACTTCGAGTCCGTACATACGGCTTACTTACTTTATTTCTTTATCTAGAAAGAAACCAACTTTCCTCGCAACGAATGAATTCATCTTTTTTGCAAAACCCCGCATATATAAATATATATATAAAACAATACATTTATAAAAGAATATATATATATATATATATATATATATATAAAATATATATAAAGATCTATATCCGAACAAGAGGTTGATATACTTTTAATAATAATATTCGATCAAACTATCATTTTCAAAAATGATTATTTTCTTCTTAACTAATCTCTCTTAAACATAACGACGAAACGTACAGTTGTAGTCGCACTTTCAAACAAATACTGCTTGCAAATTCATCACTTTTTGCGGCAGCGAGAAATAATCACTATTTTATCTTCGTTTTTTTCCAAAAACACGAGCATTTCAGCTGCAGATCTAATAAAATCGTCATATCATTAAGGTATATCGTTATTTAAGCCATGTGGAATAATATAATAATATCGATTATAGCGTTATGTCATATATCATGATTATTATTGTCTAATAATTTTGATACAAAACAATGACATAAAGATTCATTTATGATTACAAGTTTTCGTTTCTTCAATGGTCTATCTTTTTTTACAGATCACTTTTAAAATCTATCTTAATCATTTGTCTGGTTTCGATCTAAACGACGCTCGTTGAAATGTATTACAAATCAATCGTCAACATTATGATAGACTTAATTATGACATTAATTTACCGATTTGTCAAACGTATTATTTTATTTAACAAATTATTTTTCTATTACTGTTGACATTTTCCTTGCGACGAATCGTTTGAAAATGTAACAATCTTTTGTATTCGTAACAAAATAGTTAGACATTATGATATCAAGTGCAAATAATTAAATTTTATAACCAAATAATATCAATGAAAATTATTATTAAAAATTATTATTAAAAAGGTAAAAATGAAAAGTAGAAAGAAAGATTTTATCGACAAGGAAATATTTTATCGATTGAGATTATCTACGTTTATAAAAGGGTCGCTTTATGACCGACCGTCGATATCATTCGCGACTAATAATCAATTAGTGCTGACATCTCTTGTAAAAAGAACAAACAAATTAGACGATCGTTTATTAGCCGCAATGATTGATCGACTGATGGTAAAATCGATGCAAAATGTACGGATAAATATTATTTTAAAATATTTACCAAAATTGGATTATATAAGAGCTTGTAAAACTAGAAAATATAATTTTTTTGATGACTTAAAAAAGCTTACAATTATATTCTCTTGTATAATATATTTGTATTAAAAATATAGTAAATTTGTTCAATGGATTTTTGTGATATGTTTTTCTGTTGTTTTCCAGCGCGAAAAATTTTTCACGATCAAAACGATGGATCTGCCAGTGTTATTTCGAGCAATTTATAAAACATAGCTTTGGGACAAATCATTGAACTTCGTAAGAGAGTTTCCTTTCAGACGTCGGAGCAACGAGTGACCTGTTTCCCTTGTCGCTAGTAGAAATCTATTGAATTTCAAGAAGCGCGTTACAGAAGTCGTTGCCTTCGATTTTCTGCTAAATAGTGTCGCCAATGGAATTAATTGTCAGCAATTTTTCTACCCTCAAAATCATTACTTTTATGCAATATTAGAAATCTTCTTTCGAATGTCTCGTTCGAAAAGCAACGATTCTATTTTTTCTTTCCGAGAAAAAAGAAAGAAAATTATTAACAAGAAAAGGAAAATTTCATTCAAAGAAACAGCGTCTTTATGGAAGAGATACGCGATCGTAAAGCCTCGAAGATAACGATTTAATCGATATTAATTATATTTCAGGAAAGATGAAAAGATGACGGGAAAGGTGAGAAAGAAGTATCGAAACATAAAATGAAGAAGAAGAAGAAGAAGAAGAAGAAGATGAAGAAAAAGAAGACGAAAAAGAAGAAGTGTAGATGAGAAGCAAGCGGTTGGTTGTTATCGAACAGCGCATGTGTCCTATGTAAAGTAAGTGAAAGAGAGATAGAGAAGCATTGGGGCGCCGCGACGGCGTCGAACGGCGTCGAACGGCGGCGAGGGCAGCGCCGACGTTGTGCCACGGCGAGGTGGATAGTCGCAATCATGCCACCACCCTGACGCACGTTCCCGTATCTACGGTGCGTCTCAAGAAACGGCGAAAGGGAGCGAATTTTCGCGGTTCCACCATTGAGAGGAAAAAAAAATAGAGATACAGATAGACGTAGGATAGATACCATATCTCTGTCTTTCTCTTCCTTCGCTCTGCTCGTAAACAAGCGAGGAGCTAAAGAGAAAGAGAAAGAGAGAGAGGGAAAGAAAGAGATAGATAGAGAAAGAGAGAGGGAGAGAGAGAGAGAGAGAGAGAGAGAGAGAGAGAGAGAGTAATAAACGTGCATCGAATGAACGAGACGCCGTGAATGTGGACCGACCGACTGACCGAGAAGTGAGGATAAATCGACAGGAAGCTCGCGAGTGCGTCGATAAGTAAATTTATAGAAGAAAAAAAGAGAGAAAGAGAAAAGAGAATCATGAAGGAAGAGTAAAAGAGAGAGAGAGAGAGAGAGAGAGAAAGAGAGAAAATGAAAAAACGCAAGGGCACAATCGAGATCCTTGTTTGATACCGGACGGTACGAAAAGTAATGGTCTTCTTCTTCTTCGATTGAAAGCTTACGAGCTTACGCGCAAGCTCTCTCGCATGCGTGAGAGAAAGAACCTATACTTTCTTCCCCCGCCTTCTCTCTCTCTCTCTCTCTCTCTCTCTCTCTCTTTTTCTGTTTCTTTTTTCTTTTCCATGAGACACAAGTGTTCGACAAAATAGGGACACGTGTCAATCGTGTTTTCTCTTCTTCTTTTTCTTCTTCTTCTTCTTCTTCTTCTTCTTCTTCTTCTCCTTCTTCTTCTTCTTCGTCTTCTTCGTACTAGTTCAGCGAAAGGAGAGGAAATCAAAAAGGGTGAGAGATAGAGATAGATAGAGATAGAGATAGATAGAGAGGGAGAGAGTGGCCAAGTGGTGAAAGCAGTGCACGCTGCACGTGTTACTTCAACCGAGCCGTATCGATCGCCCGGAAGTGTATACGAGAATTGTTCTCGAGGACGCTCTAGTACACGCGCGTGTTACCTCCCACGATATGACGCGTGTTAACACGCGTGACTGGACGCATTTTTTTGCAGTTTGTAAATACTTTTCCCTATTCTTTTTCTCCTCGACTTCGAAATCATCCTCAACTTTCAATCGATGTTTCCAATGTATGTATGTAGGTATGTCTAAACTGTCGGTTCGTCTACCTATCCATCTGAATATTTTTCTTCGTTCGAGAGAAGAGTAAGAAACGAGTTGGTAATCGTTCAAAATCGCTTCTTAAACGAGTGATGTGAAGTGATCATATCGAACGGTGTTTATTTTTCAACGATTCAGTCTTTACTTTTCAAAAGAAAACTAAAATAAAATTACAAAAATTCTCGTTTATCCGGAGATTGTCTGACGCTTACACAATCGAGTGAAATTTCTCTGTTTCAACGGGAGCTGAAAAGAGATATATGCATATGGTAAGAGTTCTTATCAAAAGGGATTGCCAGTGAAAATCGTGAAAATAAGTTTACGATCGTTCCTGACGTATTTAAAGACGTTTTTCGAAAAGAATATACTCATCCATAGCGCCGTCGTTTTATATTTAATAGGTACGTAAAATTCAATCTTATTATTTGTTCTCATTTTCAAGAGCAACTCCCATCCGATTTTATCCTTAAAATACATCTTTTCAATTTCAACGAGAGGAACGATCCTCGTGAGGTACTCGTGATGGGTTATAAAACGTGCTCCAGTCTCGAAACTGTGAGGATATTTATGCGTGAGCGTATATACGCGTTTTCATTCCCAGAGGCAAAGCAAAAGTCTGCTTCGCGGAAAGTAGTATCGTCCACGAATTGGATTATCTCTTGATTTTGTCTTTGAATTGCAATCATGTGGTCTCGTTCCAAAGAACTACTCGTAGCTCGATATAAATTAATTCGTCTAATGGGTAATAAAAGTAAAAATACAAAAATACAAATCAGTACCTGTAAAAGAATAAAGTGTATTCTTCTTAACATTATAGAAAAAAAGAAAAAAGAATAGTATCCATTTCATTGATAATACCGATCAGAAAAGTTATTAATAATTTTGTCAATATTCTTCTTGTTATTAACGTCAAATTACATTTACCGGGAAAAATGAGAAAGAGATAGCGGAAGAAACGGAAATCGTGATTAGTACGATAGCATTAGTTTTCTCGCTTTTTCAGAATCGCTTGGAGAGAAAAAGAAAAGCAAAAAAAGAAAAAGAAAAAAAAAAAGAAGAAAGCAGCATATTTTTCTTAGAACCGGCGAATAACAGACTAAACAATGATTTCGGATATTTCGCTATGCGTAAAATCATGTCCTAAGCACGCGGGCGAAGGTCGACATAAAGAAAGGTGCTGTTTATTTTTCGTGATCTAATATTCGCCTTCGTGGGACGATATGCAAGGAGCGTGGGCCGATATCGGTAGTCAGCTGTGTCAGTGGCGCACGCTCTCGCGCACATTGCTCCGGATCGTTCGAATATTCATTTCGTGGGGGTCGGGGGAGAAAGGGTAACACTTGTCTCCCCTTTCCCTCTCTCGATCACCCCGGAGATTTTATCAAAGACGATGCTTCTTTTTGTGCCTACGAAACGATCATGCATCGTAAAAAGAGACGTGCAAAATCGTCGTAACTATCACGGTTGGCACAGACCTCGTCACCTTTTCAGGACCGAAGAACCGCGTAAAGTTTATTTTAATAATACGTGCGTAGAGCGAGCGCGTCGTCGGCTCCTCCGACGGCCTTTTCTATTTCGGCTTTTCTTCCTTTTCGCTCGAATGTTTCAAAAAAGAGACAACAGATGCCTATCTCCTCCTGCCTCTTCACTGATACGCGAAATCTTGAAAAAAAAATTCAATAAATCGGACGAATATACGAAAAATCGTGATAACACGGCTCGAACGTGCTTCGAAATAATTTTCGATGATTACATTACGTTAATAGCGTATTCTACGGAAGGATATTATCGGATGTTTTGTAAATCTATTTTAACAATTAAGATAACACGGTGTTTCGTTTTCTCGGCTAAGTAAAGTAACCTTCCGTCAATCATTTCGAGTTTATTTTAATAAAGCGAACGTATACGTGTACATATTAACGTCGGTAGTCGCTTCGATGGCCTTTTCTACTCCCTATCCACCTGTATCTCCTGTACGACGGAGAAACAAAGAGAGAGGGAGAGAGAGAGAGAGCGATGGAGTGAGATGAGATCGGGAGGAAGGGATGCTTCGCTTCGACGTTATTTTTTCGTATATTAATAGTTGAGGATCGATTAATTGATTTCTCTTGTAAAAAAAAAAAAAAAAAAAAAAAAAAAAAGAAAAAAACAGAAGAAAGAGAAGTCCTGTGCGTGTAATACTTAAAACTTAAATACAACGAATATAACGTAGGAGAACATTTGCGGTTTATAATTATACAATGGATGAGTTATTAATATATAACGAAATATTTAACGAAATTCATGAAAACGAGAAGAGATCTATCGAATGAAATCGAAATGTTCTACCAATCAGATTGCACGGTTCCGCGTTATCGAGAAATATTATACATAATAAGAGCCGAAGTAATTCCATTCATGAGTACGTTTTAATCGATGAAAAATGAAAATATGTTTTTTCTCGTGATTCTGCCAAACTCATTGTGTATCTCGCTTCTTTTGACTCGATAATCGATCGAATTTATTTACAAAAACAACAATTCCGTCGAGTTTCATTTAGTTCAATCGTTTTAATCGGTCTTTATGGACAAGAAAAGAAGAAGTATTAAAAAGTGGGCTGGGTGTTTATGCGCGAATATATGCTTGTATGTATGTGTGTGTGTGTGTGTGTATGTGTGTGTGTATGAGAAAGAAAGAGAAAGAAAAAGATAAAGGAAATAATCGTAGATGAACGAAGAGTAGTATCGCGTATTCTCAGGCATTCTCGCCGATTTTCCGAGCGCGTCTCGAGTACGAGAACTCCTACTATTTATAAATTGGTTTGAACCCGGTCGCATTGGCGATCCTCGTCGTCGTGCGCGGCGCTCTGGTGCGGCCGAAGCAACGGGCTGCGCCTTCGGTCCGAGCTGCTGCCGCCTCGTGGAGCCTCGCGTGGGGAACAATTCGCCACCCCATGATAAAAATAGAAGCTCCTAGTCAGCTAGTCCAAGCTCCGAGCTAGGAAAGAGAGAGAGAGAGAGAGAGAGAGAGAGGGAAATCTAGTGAATGCGAGTATGAGTGAGTGTGTGCGAGAGAAAGAGAGAAAGAAAGACAGTAAGATTGAAAAAGAGGGGAATAAAAAATAGGGGATAGAGATAGAACATAGAATGAAAAATAAAGTTACGAGAAAAATAAAAAACGCAGGTGAAAAATATAAAGAGAGAGAGAGAGAGAGAGAGAGAGAGAGAGAGAAATTTTGAATCGGTTTCAATGGATGAACGGGTCAGCGAACAAATGGATAAACGGACGGACGAACGAATGATCGTTGGTAAGATCCAACATCGACGACGTTGACGAAGAGACGAAGACGACGCACCGGCGCACCGGCGGTAGCCGATGCTGGTGGTGCTGCTGGCACGTCTCGATACCGTCTCTCTCTCTCTCTCTCTCTCCCTCTCCCTCGGCCAAGAGCTTTCAGTTCTTCGTCATCCGTCGTCTTCGACGCGAAGAAAGTGCGTCCGTCTCTTTTTCGTGAAGCGCGCGCAAGATAGTTAGCCTCGCTAAGATCGGTGACGTTCATCATAATGCCGGTATTAACAGTTGACGCACCTGCCGCTTCCTAGTATACATTCCCAAAAGCAAAATAGTTTTAAAAGAATAAAGAGAAAAGAAAAGAAAATTTATTATCTATCGTTATATCGAGCCTCGTCGAATATAACAAGTTCGAAAGGTAATTTTTATGTAATAAGTGGTGGTGTTTATGGTGAAGATGCCGTGAATAAAATAAAATATATATATATATATATGTGTGTGTATACATTTACGCATATGTATATATATTTATCTATATATATATATATTATATATATGCATATATATATGTATATATATAGATAATCGAAAAACATAGAGAGCGCGAGCGAGAAAGAGAGAGAAAGAAAGAGGCACATTCCGAGCGGATCACGGATGCTTATAGAAGCGTTGCGTAACGGCGTCAGACGAACAGCGAAATTGCGGCGGCGGCTGCGGCAGCAGCAGCAGCGGCTACCGAAGCGCGTCGAGCTTCGATAAGATCGAAGGAAATTTTAGATCCTCTTACGGTATCGATTCGCGGATTCGAAAAACGAAGAAAGTTAGGGAAAGGAAAAGGAGAAGGTGGAGAAAAGATTTTGTGTGCGTTAAAAGTGGATCATTGAGGTGTCACAGAGACCAGAATCGGATACAAGGTGTCCTCGTGATCTCGATCAGGGATCAAGAGAGGAGAAGAGCCTGGTCGCGTGTTAGAGTGCGCGAGTGAGTGACTGAGTGAGTGAGTGAGTGAGTGAGTGAGCGACGATTTATCGTCGAAGAACTCGTTAAAAAAATATTAAAAGTTGTTAGGGTACGTTGGTTGGATCGCTCGAGGGGCTTCGTAACAAGACAGGTAGAGAGATTGGGGATGGTAGAAACGAGGATAAGAAGAAGCTGTTTCGCAGAGAAAGAGAGAAAGAGATTCTTTCGGTCGTATCGATTCTGGTGTCTCGAAACGTTTCAAGGCCAATCTCCGTCTCTCGATCTACACTTATTCACACACACGCGCGAGCGAGCGCGCGCGTACACACACACACACACACATACGCGCACGCAAGCTCGCGCGCGCGAGCGAACACATACATACATGCATACACCTAAACATCCAAGCACGCATACACACGTATAGTTGTCATTTACGAATTCTATCCGGATCGATTGCTCTTATTTCGTAATGGAAATCGCATTCGATAATCTCTCATGATCAGGATGATTTCGTTCGAGCTCTTCTCCCGCGTGATTAATAGCCTCCATCTGATTGCAAGGGCCCACATTATAAAATCGGCGAATCCAATGCTTTATTGTTATATAATTTTCTCACTTTTTCGAATAGAATAAAATTGATCGAGATTCGAGGAAACGATCCAACAAAACAGAACAACGATCGAGCGTAAGTAATAGCGAAAAAGGGGTGGCGGTGGGGGGGGGGAAGCTAGAAAGAAAAGTGTTTCTCAGGTGTAGAGATCAACGGGTGGTTGGTTCGGTGATCCAACAGGGATTTGGCGAGTTTCGTGAGGAGAAGGAAGAAGATAAAGGAAAAGAAGAAAGAGGAGAAAGAAAGGAGGGGATAGCGATAGTAGTATTAGTGCTAATAGGTGTTGGTGGTGGTGGAGGTGGAGAAGGATGGAGCAACGTCCAAGGAGACGGGGAGTATACGGACGTTGCTGACGAGGAAGGAGCGAGAAGAGGACGGGGAGGGGAGTGGAAAAAGAAGAAGAGGAAGAAGAAGAAGAAGAAGGAGAGGAAGTGGACGAAGACGACGAAGAGAACGAAAGCGACGAAATTGAAGAGACGAACGACGGTGCGTACGACACCCACGAGACATGCAGCAACAGCAACAGTCTGGACAACAGCAACAGCAATCCGGAGCACCGAACGGGGTGGCGGGTGGTGCCCAATTGCCTCAAACAGGTGGTATTAGTCCTGCTCAGCCTGGTGCAACTGGCACGGCTACCTCGAGGCCACAGGTGAACGGTGGTAGATTTGACTTCGACGATGGTGGCACTTATTGCGGCGGCTGGGAGGATGGCAAGGCTCATGGACACGGTGTTTGTACCGGACCCAAGGGACAGGGTGCTTACTCCGGTAGCTGGCATTACGGTTTCGAGGTCTCTGGAGTTTACACTTGGCCAAGGTATGACTCTTTGTTTTCTATTATTCGTCAACATTCGCACGTGTCTTTGTAAAAAAAAAAAAAAAAAAAAAAGAAAAAAAAAGGAAAAATTCATTTTTAACATCTTCGTCATTAATCTGACTCGTTCACCAACACGATCCTTCTCTCTTTATATTCATCTTGTTCGCGACAGGATAACGGAATTAATTGGGATTGGTTTTCTTTCGAAACATTAACGTACTTACCTGAGTACGATCCTTCGTGAATCTTGCTCTAGGATCATCATGAGAAATTTTTCTTCTTAAAAAACACTTTTATTGCTTCAATGCTCAATGCTCATTGGACCTCTCTAATTACGTTGGAAATTGTTAAGCCTACTCGACTATCGCTGAAGTCGTTAAAAATTTAATGAGTACTCTTCCTTTTCGTTGTCTAACTTTATTTCAACAAAATACTGTAAAATCCGTGACGAGATGATGCTCGTTGTATCGCACAGCGGCAACGAGCATGTTCCAGAGCAAGGCGTTCGTTCGTGATGAGCAACCTTGACACATATAACTCTCTATATACCTGAGACACGGCCAATCTTCTGATCCTGAAAGTGGGTCATAGAGTGCAAGGACAGCGCGTCCGGGTCAGCAGGATTCCATCCTCAACAAAAATCTCTTTTTCTCTCCCGCTTTAGATATCATTAGGACTCAAGTCGTTTATATCGTTTAGCCGTACGTTGAATAATTTCCTTGTAAATTCAAACTTCCACGAAAGCTTCTTTTAATGTACGTAAAAGAGAAATAGGCAAAGGACGAAAAAGAAAAAGGGGCTAAGAGTTGAAAAGAATTTCAAGTTCGCTATTCGGATATCAAAAGCTTCTCGAGCTTACCCAGACGAAGCTCGACCCAAATGATTAAACGTTCCGAGTAACGTACTCGAACTATAGTCATCGACTGAAAAATATGCCAATCACTTTTCTTCCACTGAAATTGACCAGCCGAGGAACGGAAGAATGCACACCGAGTTTAATTATATTTAGATCAATGATTAGCTGTCACTGTGAATACTCAATTCGTATTTTTAACGATAGATATTCATTGATCTCGGCTAGAACGACGGTAATAACGAGCTGATCTATTCGTGATATAATGGATAAAAACCTTCGATCGATCGACAAAGAAAAAACTACGTTCCTTGATCGACCTTATTTCTAATGGATGAAACGAAAGAGATCGACTACGTTCTGTGAAATGAATTGGAAAGACAATAAAGACTTTTTCTGTAGGTATACTCTCGATAAATGTTTGACGAGTAAGGGTTGAAGAGAGAAAAGAAAGAAATGTATATTTGAAAGAACGCGACGAAACGAATTGAATCGTAGGTGATTAACGTCAAATATATTTTACCGCAATATTTGAGCCTTTATATGCGTATTAAATCATAATAAAATAATAAAATGTATTTTCCTCGTCGCGGAGAAAATTATATTAACCACATTGTATAAACCGGTTGGTTTATAGCAATTAGTAGTAGAACGTCAGATGATATCGTCTACAAACACGTATGTACCAGAGAAATGTCCGAGATATCGTTGATAAGCAGTTAGGTCACGCACACCAACCCAATGGAAATTCTATGAAATGGATAAATGAAGGGATATAGTGGATGATTGAAAGAAGGGTGAGATTACGATCGAGATATAAACAATTGAATCGATTTTTTTTCTTTCGTCCTTTCCCTTCATCCCTCTACCCCTCTCACTCTCCCTCTCTCTCTCTACCCATAACCCCTTTAACTTCTGGCACTGAAAAAAATCATGTTGAAAACGAAACGATATTGTTGTTAAATTAACCAGTTTAAGCTAATGGAGGAATCTTCCGTCGTTTAAAGTATTCCAACTTCCTCCTTATTTCGGAGAAGAAGAAGAGGAGGAGAGGAGGTCGAGAAAAAGAAGAAAAGAGAATGAGAACGAGTAGAGAGAGAACGTGAGATGGATAAGGATGAAAGGAGAAATAAAATAAAAAGAGAGAAAGAAGGGGAGAGAAGACAGGGGGAAGAAGAAACTCGCGTCGTATCTAGGCCGAGGGGAATCCGTCGTTTCGTTTCCGTTTTAACTGGAGCAAGGTCGTTGTTCCACGTTTTCCTAGGGGGCGTCTGATAAATCTTCTCGTTTCTCTTCTTCTCCATCGTTCAGATGAAATCAAAAGGAACGTTCTACGTTCTGATCCTACAAACGATATATATATATATATATATATATGTATATATATTGATTAACGATAATTTTAATTGTCACATTTCGAATCATCATGCAATCGAAACTTTATAATTTAATATGTACGGGTATTAAGAAGGGATCATTGATCAACGACCAATAAAATAACTTTCTTCGTGTTCTTAATAATTCCTTTCTTTCTTTTTCTTTTTTCTCCTTTTTTGTTTTTTTTTTCCTTTTTTTGATAGGCAATCATATATTTTTCATAGCTCAGAATAGAAACGTAATAACATTAACAAATAATCTGAATTTCATCGTTTCGTCGTCAGCAACATTTTACTCCGTTAGCTTAGAGGAATTTTCCATTATTTTGAGTTCTTTTTTTTTTTCTTTCCATAATTAAACTTAACCAAAACGACGTCAAAGGCAGATTGTAAATCGCTTAGAAACATTCGACGTTCGAATGGTGACCCTAATGTAATATTGAGCTTGGCATATCGTGCCAGTTTATTTTCTTCTTAATGCTAGAAAAGCACAAGGGTCGTGACGCTTTTTGTCGAATGAAATGTGCTCGAGAAAGATTCGACCAATGAACTCAACGGTGAAGAAGAGGGAAAAATCGTGGTTCGGTAAAAAATGGAAGAACTTTGTCCGATGAAATATCTTTTAAGAATCTTTCCGAGCTACATAATTTATTTAAATGATTTTTACGTCTATTTAAAACGGGAAATTCTAACGCGCCTTTTTTGAATAATTTTGTATATTTTATTATAAATCAACCATACAATTTTTCCCGTTAAAATTTCATTCATATATTTATCCAGATTTCACAATAATATCTATTAATTTTATTGGAGAGGAATAATTGAAATTTGTGGCAGTGCAAATGTTTGATGAATCCGCTGGAAAGAAGTCCTCCCAGTGATTTCTGTTCATTAGAAATAAAAAAAAAATTATTCTTATTAGAATGTGTTTGAAATATTATTGTCGAAATTTGATTATCGATTTTGTTGTATTTTGTATTTTTAGCGGATGAAAAAAATAAGGATTCAAATAAAAGCCTTTGTGTATACACTTTTAAAATAATATTCTTTTAAGAAAATTCTTAAAAGAAAAATTCGATTATTTTTTTCTTAACGTCTACAGTAGAATACTCTCTCTTGGCACGCTATTTTCGTGATAAATAAAAATAAAAAGATCTCATTAAAAAGATAAAAGATCGATTGTGAGATAAGGACGAATTAGCTCGGCGTAATGGTCAAGTAATAATTAATTAATTCTTCAATTATTTCTCAAACTTTAGCATATTAAATATTATAGTATATCAAAATATATTATATCTAAATACTGAACAATGAGAAAGATGACCGGGAGTGTCCTGTTGGATTTTTTATCTTAATAATAGGAGGTCATAAGTGCAGCGGTGCAACTGCTAATTAATTTCAAATTACTGCTCATGCTAATTAAAGTTTCACCATTGTTTATGGGATGTATAAATAACATCAGATTAAACGAACCGTAGTTCCTCTTGCTTTCTAAGAATAATACTTTACATAAAAACGTACTTTTACTCTTTTATTTCTTATTTATTATGAAATAACGAGGATCGAAGAGGCACTAAATGATTAATCTACATTCTATTATTAATAATTTATTAAGGTTTAACAAGATTATTTTCTTACGAGAGAGAGAGAGAGAGAGAGGGAGAGAAAGAGTAACAAATATGGCGGGTTTTCTTATTGAGAAAAAAAAAAAAAGAAAAGAACATAGACGTGCGCTCTAGTTCTTTTCTTTTCGCAAAAAATCTGCAGATAATATCATCATCTCGGTTATCCTATTTCAGTGGCTCGGCTTACGAGGGACAATGGCAGAACGGCAAAAGGCACGGTCTCGGTATGGAAACTCGGGGACGTTGGATATATCGTGGAGAATGGACTCAGGGATTCAAGGGACGTTACGGTGTCAGACAATCTACTACATCTACAGCGAGGTACGAAGGTACATGGGCCAGTGGTCTTCAAGATGGTTATGGTTCCGAGACTTACGCCGACAGCGGTGAGTCAAAAAAAAAACAAGAATTTTAATGTTAATTTTAATTTATATTAATCTAATTTTAATTATACCATTTCCTAATTAACATTACTCTCTGAAATAATATAATAATGGTATCGAAGAATAGGATAAATAATTCCTTTTGATCAGAAATGTTAGATTTGCATCTTCATTTGTCCGCTCTTCATCGCCCTAATATTTTCAATCGAAGATATGAATTAGAAATATAAAAACGGTATATATATATATATATATATATATATATATATATATATAGAGAGAGAGAGAGAGAGAGAGAGAGAGAGAGAGAGAAGGGTAAATATATAACCGAGACGAATTTACTAATAGCAGGTTGAACCCTGGCCACACCCATATCTATAGAATACGCGAAATTTACGTTTTGAGTATTTGAAATGCGTAGAACAAAAGGCATGACCATGACATATAGAATTTCCTTTCGTTTTCTGAATCAAGGAAACACGTAAATATGCTCTGAAAGGAGAGCAAAAAAAGACTCATTAAAGAAATAACGATAATGCTCTGACATGACGGAATTTCGATCGAATTTCGATTAAGTATAGGTGTCATTTGATTTGATATTTATTAAATAAAAAGTCAAATTTAAGGATTATAAATGTATACTTCACGATTCACATAATATTCATCGAATCTTAGATTAATTCAATTGTAAAGAAATGTGACGTGATCTACAAACATAACGACGATACAAGCGTAAAAAAAGAAAATATGATACCACCTCGAAGTATTGATAGAACTATACATATATAATGCACTATACGACACGCACGTTTGACGCACATGGCATCGTCGTCACGCAGAGATTATTTAATCAGTCTTAACCTCTAACTTAAATTTATAAGTACCTGCTTGGCTTCTCGCTTTTTATTACTGTTTTAGCTCTACTCGAATCTTTTATTCGTCTCTTGAGCCCTCAGACATACATGATTTTCCTAGAGTAAGGAATAATTTAATATATTCATTATGTTGTTCTCGTCCGTTATGAGAGTAAAAGTCTTACAACTTTCTCCCACACAATACTTTTTACGTAATACCATTTTTGATTGCTATTTATTTATTTATCACTCGTAGATTTTGCATTACACGCATCGTTTCTATATTCTACATCATCGTTTTAGTTTTATTAAAATATACAATTTTTAAAGGTTCGTGACGTTCAGGGAAAACATCGTGATACCCCGAAAGCGGACATATATTTGAAAGGCTTCGTATACGAGACTTTAATCTCGATTTAACGAATCAAGATAAGCTTATGTATATGGAAAATAAATCTTCAACTCGAAATGTAAAAACGAATAGTTTTATCATCGTGCCATAACGAAAGTAAAATTACACGAGTAACGTGTTACGATCAGAATTTATATTTTGAATTTTATAAGTCGCATAAGGTATCTTGATTAATGGTTCGTAAACGCCGGTAGAAATCGATTTCCTTATTTTTCTTTGCCTTTTAATCTTTAATCGATCATCAATAAATATTTTTTTTCGTCTGAAATTTGATGAGTCAGTATTCTGGAAATAAGAATAGGTTAATGATATGAAGTATATGAAATATGAAACTCGATGAGTTAGTATTCTGGACATAAGATTATTAAGTTATGAGTACGAAGTACGAGCAAGAAAAAATTATTATTAGACAATTTCATTTCGTTATTTATAATAAGTAGAATATTATTCGTGCATCATTTTGTTGCGCATTCAATGAATTATTGCGTTCAAGGGGGTGGAAAATGAATAATCCTTAAGATTTATATATTATAAATTTTCATCGCCAATAAAAATCCTTAATCAACACCGAATCACATATTATAAAATACACGATTGTAAAAATAAGCATATAAAGCGTAATATAATTTTTCTCATCTAATATATATATATATATATATATATATATATATATATATATATATATACATACATATATATATACATTTATGAAATTTCACGAGTGCTTTTTACCATATGACGCTCGTCATATACGAATCTAATTATAATATTAGATGATAATCTAATCTTTTTATAAAAAGGATTTATTCTAACGAATCGATCTTTACTTTCAATTAATTTATTAACCGATCGATTAATGTTAGAAGAGCTAAAGAATTTCATATGCAACCGGCTTTCGTCCGATTGGAACGAATTCGTATCTCAATTTAGCAACGGCGTCATATAATTTGATTAATCCGACTAAACGACTATAGTTCTAAGGTTCGCTCACGAGTACAAGAGCGATCCCAAGTACGAGTCTCGTTTTATTTCAACGAGATAAAAGCTTTGTCGATCTTTTTGTCGAATGCCAAGAGGGAGAAGACAATCGATCAAAATCAATCGTTTACGTTCGAGTTTAATAGAAATTTCTCAAGACAATTTGTATTAATGATAATCGAATTACTGTTTTACATTGAAAAAATTGAACGATCTTATTTTTAAATTAACTAATCCGAACTTCATAATGCGAGTTCCCGTTCAGAATTGGGCGATCGATGCCACTTCGTAAGTGACATCATTTGATAATGCGAAAACGGTGATATGTTATCGGAAAGTCAGGGATTCACGACAGTTCTATAACGACCCCATTCGATGTGGAATCACGTTAGACCAGATGATCGACGGAAAATCGATTCCTCGGTAACGTGGATCGACTCAAGTTGAAACCGATCGTATTTCATCGGAAACAACGATTCGATGGGTCCTTGAACGTATCTTAAAATTCATGCACTTGACTGGGAACATTTATACGAATATAAATATTATACTTCATATCGCAAAAGCATACTTTTTCTTTTTAAGAGCGTGTCTGACTTAAATAACGTTAGAGACGTTTACCACCAAAATGAGATATTTCGTTCTCAAAAATTATCGAATCGTCCCGCGTTATTTCGAGATTATAAATAGACGGAAATTCTTCAAAAAAAAAGTTCTCATTTGATTAAATGAGAAATTAAGAAAATATTGTCTATATAAACGATAATATTTTTATCCAATTATTTTGTTAATTGTATCCATATATGCGAAAAGATTAAGTCATTTTTAATGTTAATGATCCATACATTTTTATTAATGTCTAATCGTTAGGCGACATTTCGATTGTTGGTAACTTAGAAAATTTGTGACTTACGAAAGAAATACGCTATGATAAGTTAAAATGTTTAAAACAATGAGAATTGTTGGATGAAGAAAACGAATAAACTTTTCGGAATAGTCTCTCTATCTCTCTTTCTGTTGAAGTCAGGAGATCCTGAAAGGGCCACGTCATCTCTCCGTCGTGCGTATAGCACGCGCACGCACGTTTCTTCTACGTGGCACGAAAATAGCACGGCTGATTATTCGCCACGGGATTCGAGCACCTACGCCGATATTTCACCGTATTCCGGCTGATCTCTAGAAAGCTCACGAGATTTTACCAACCGTACGCACGTGCCAACGAACATGGCCGAGACTAGGTGAAGTTATTTTTATAAAATCTAGACCACATTTGGCGATTTTCTCTCTTTAACTATATTTGTCGATATTCGTCTTAGAAAAACAAAAAAAAAAAAGAAAAAAAAAAAATAAGAGTAATTTAAAAAACAAAAGATTATATGTAAACGTTGATTACTTCAAGCTGATATAATTAATACAAATTATTATTCCATTTATCGAAAAAATATAAGGAGATAGACGATCGTGAAAGATCTTCTATGACAGCTATAAATCAGGTACAAGCGATTATTGAATAACGTTAGTTCGTTTGAAACATTTCTAAATTACAAGCGCAATTTAAGGACGCGTTTATGAATCACTATATCCTCACGTGTTCCATAACTTTTATCAAAATGGCCTGTATGAATCTCGGAAACAACATAACCGTTCCATGCAGGATCGTAAATCACGGTTAGCTATTCGGTGGTCTTAATTAAGAGTAAACTAATGATTACAACTGTTACATCTGGCTTGACTCTTTACAAAATTCATTCACACATACACACACACACAAGGAAATTGTACGCATTTCTCAAATAAGTCGTTTTCTTCTTCTTCTTTCTCCTCCTCCTCCTCCTCCTCCTTCGACGCAACGACTTTCGAATAACCGAATAACCGTTTTACGGACCATCGTACGTCATCCGTCGTCTTCTGCTTTTCCTACCTTCGGAAGGAGGTGGCCTAAGACCCCGAAAACACGGCCGAACGACTTCGTTCGGGATATAAATATAGTGCTCAAGAGCAGTGAGCGAAATGAAATGCAATAAAACTTATCTGCAACGGTTTCTCTTCGACTTCACTCTCTCTCTCTCTCTCTCTCTCTCTCTCTCCCTCTTACTGCGGTATGCTTGTCTTTCTTGACTTCTTCTTTTCAAACTTGTTCTCTATTTTTCTCAAACACCCGAGATAACCAAAGCGAAGCGCTATTTCCATTCTGAATCAAGAAAGAAAAAGAAGAAGAGAACGAGCAGCTTCCTACCGCAAATCAGCCGGATGTCGGCCTGTTTATCGCAAGTGTTAGCAACGAGGGCGGTTTATTGCTGGTAACACGTGCGTTAGTTTAAACCATCTCGAAGAAAAGTCTTCGAATCGTTTTGAAAATTCTTCTTAGAAGATTTATCGTAAAAAAAAGTGTCGTAATAATTATGTAATCGAGAAATCGTTTAGATGGACCGAGATTAGAGATTGTTTTCGGTTTACTTTCACGAAAACGCTTTCCATTATTTTCAGATAAATATCTAGATAAATTGTTGACCTCCAAGTGGAAGGAAATAGAGAGAGAGAGAGAGAGAGAGAGAGAGAGAGAGAGAGAGAAGGTTTTTAGAGCAACTAGCAATGAATAATCAAAGCACCCTTGCACACTGGAGCATAGTACATGCGTGTCTCTAGCCGATGTACACTGAGATAGAAGCCACGGTCAGTACCAGATTACTCTTTTGCGATGGGAAAGCGAAAAGAGATTGTGTTTGTATCATCCATGAGTAGGAATACGTATGTGTACG